TAGTATGAAAATCATCAAACTTCTAATGCTCGTAACTCAGTTCAGACTGAGTTTAGAGGTATACATGCCATAGTAAGTTTGGTTTATTACACTATTTTGTAATCAAAAAACAAAGTTTGATCGATGGCCGCGCGAAAAAAAAAGACGCCACTTTCCATATGTACAAAATCTGGCATTGCCGCTCTATCGGTTGAGAACTGGTCTTAAAATCAGTTGCAAGATTTGTCCCACACATACTAACAAGTGAAGTCAATATAAAGCTTGTAAATAAATAAAAAAATTGCATTTTTATATCGTTTCGTTCTGGTTACAAAAACTGTTGTTTTGGGTTCTGGAAGTTCTGGAAGATCGAACGTACTTGCCAGAACGCGTTTTTAGGGTTCCGTAGTCCTGACAAGGAACCCTTATAGTTTCGATATGTCTGTCTGTCTATCCGAGGTTTTGCTTGGAAACTATTGTCACTTGAGAGCTGTAATTTTGTGGAGGTATGTATATCTTCTTCTTTTCGTGTCGACAACAAACCTACACAGTGTCAGCCCAAAACTCCGTATGTATATTAATCACGCCGACACATGTGAAATGGGGATGATTTTTTTTTCATCTTCTACCCCATTGTGTGGGGTATCGTTGGATAGGTCAAAAAATGGCTAAGGGGTTTCTAAGACTATTTTCCGTTTTAGGGATCGGTTTGCAAAATATTTAAGTTTAAAGTGCCAATTTTTGTTCGAGTAGAGCGTCCCCCCCTTGGCTTTAAAAATCTAGTAAAATTCGTAAAGATACTGCTTTTCATGAACTTTCAAGGAAAACTGTAGCGGTTAAGATACATCAGTTAGATTAAGAGTAATAGTCATTTAACTCATGTATTATAAAATTCCTTAACTAGTGAAAAGTCCTTAGAAGAAAATATTAAAAGTGACTTTAGATGAAATATATTGTGTTAATGACGGATAACTACGGAACTCTACACTGCGCGTGGCACGACACACACTTGGCTAATTTTTATTCTAGTGTTTTTCAGTGTGCCTGCTGTATCTTTTTGGTAAATAGTAGGTACTGGATTAACGATTAACGGACTTAGGATAATTTAACGGAAGTTAACGAGTCCGTTAACATTTTTTAAAGTTAACTTAAAAGTTAATCCGTTAATAGAAATGTTAACTTCGTTAATTAACGATTAACGGATTAACGAGTTAATGCCCAGCTATGTTTATAGGTAATAGTTTGCCCTACCAGTACCTACTACAGATCAAAACGAGAAAAGGCGAAAAGAAGTTCATATCGATTACTTTTTATTTTACCCGACTGCGCCAGGAGGAGGGCTATTGATGCAGTCGCTTACATCGTCCCATCAGTCCATTAATGTATCTTAAAGAGAAAGATTGATAGTCAAAATATCATAAAAATGAGCTAACTATCCGTGTCTACATTATGGTTTATGTTTTGCAAACCGATACGCAAGCCGTACGAATATTAATCGCCGTGGTCTGCGATTTCAAATTCAAAACCAGCGTGTTGGAAAAGTCTGTGTAAACTGCAACCTCAAACAGCGACCTTTCATAAATATAGGGGTGATTGGTTTGTTTGGATCACTTTTTGAGGGCTTCGTGTTATATAAAAAACTATTCGTACCTGGTTTTTTTTTTGTTAGTGAGTGTTATTGAGATACACATGCAATGGTAGCTAGTGGAGTACTCCAATTGCAGTGCAGTGATTTAGTTTGTGAATTATGATGATTGTAATTTGTTAGTTCCTTAAGTTTGGTTAAATTCTTTTAGGTGATCGACTATATAGGTAATGTAGGCTTTGAAGCTTTTTGCTGTGTCTTCTTTTCTAATTATGTCTGGTAGATTATATGGGTTGATATTTAGCAAGCGGGATGTCATTTCATGGTTATATCGGGCTGAAGCAAATCTAGGGCACTGTGTTAAGAGGTGTTTCCAAGTTTGTGGCGTCTGGTCATCGCAGGGACAGCGGTCATCTGCGACGATATGGAAATGATGTAGGTGTCACCCAAGCACTTAATTCGCCTAATGGAAAGATTTTTTGCGGATGGTAGGGAATAAAGGTAAAATTACAAAAAAAAAGTATTTACTTAGTATGTTTATATCCGTTTTCTAGTACCCATTGTACGAGCTTTGCTTAGTTTGGGACTAGAGGCGCAGTGTAAAATATCCAAGGATATTTATTTATTTGTTTAAAAGGATCCCAATGGGTCGACGTTCACTACGCCTATCGTATAGCAGCACAGGATAAGATATTAATAAGATGGCACATGCTATAGAAAGAGCAACAATTCCTGATGACAGGCATCGCATGGTTCTGGCGTTTAGTGATTTAATAAATAAGCAATAATGCAAGACGCACTCATATAATACAGTACATTTACTAAAATAAAATTTCCTACTGTTTTATTTTATTGCTCGATTTTTTAACCATTCAAGTACCAGCGAACCGAGACACAATAGAAATCAATGTTACCGCGGTCTCATGCGACCACTCAGGGTTCCACAAGTTAACAGTAATTTCGACTTTGCAGTTACATGTTATACTACCATTACTACTGGAGAGGTAACAATTTATTCGAAATCTTGTCAATTTCGAATACTCTCGATGAATATTTGTTTCTTACTAGTGCTTCTGCCTTATAACTGGTAAATAATACTGTCCAAATACTGTCACTTAGATATTTTCAGCCTAAAACCAAACAAATTTAGGTCGTTGTTAAAACAGTAATTACCTAACTATTTATTGTTTTAACAACGATGCGATATTTCGAGTTTAAATTAATTGCCAAGTCATAGTATATTTAACATAGAATCTAAAAAAACATTTTCTTTTTCTGTTTCTGTTTACTCAATTTTTTAAAAACGATACCTATGTATAAACTATTTGTGAAAACTATTTTGGCAAATGTGAAGTTTAATTGGTAACTCTATATGTGTTATAGAATGCTGTTTGTTTTCCTAACAATAAAATAAAAATAAAAATAAATGTTAAATCACTCCACATACGACTCGTAAATCCGTTCGGCGTACCAAAAACCCGTTCACAATCCGTATGGATCAGTAAAGTTTAGAGTTTCAGCCATCGGCTGGTAGGCTGAGTAATCCGGTTTGACCAACTTCGACCCTGGAACGAATCCAAACCCTTAACTGTGCACAGTTTTTAAAGCTTTGGGCGATTGGTTGCGATGATTGGACTGTAAGGATGGGGCTTAAGATGGACATGTTTATGTAACTGCTGTCCTATTTTGTGGAAAAAGACTACGTCATAATTTTGAGGGAGAGTAGTGAGAAGTTTGTAATAGAAGCTTCAAATGTAATCGGTAATATTATCAGTAATTATGTGTAAATGTTTTTTTTTATATTTTAAGACGGTAAGAAATATTTCAAAATCAGACGCTTTCATAAAGTTGCACAAACATGTAAGTTGGTACCTATTAGCAGACACCCGCGAAAGTCATTACGGGACATACAAAAACTTTCATTTTATAAAAATTTTCATTCAATACATAAATTACTAGAACCTACATTTTGAAAAGCGATATCAATGAGAAGTTTATGAACGATTAAGAAGATAGAGCCACCCATACTCAGAAACTTTCCCAATAACAGTATCACTAAGATTTTAGGCATCGCTATCCCAAGAAGCTCCCTTTTATTAGACCCTAAGGGCCAATCAAACTTGCCATTCTAATACCTCAATATCCTAGCATAAAGGAGCGATCCGCCCGCGGCGAGCACCGAACCTGCGCCGGTGATCAAATGCAGGAATGGCATCCGGAGACGTCGGCGGCTTATGAGACTCCACTGTCCACATTATTAAAGTCGCGCGGCGCCGGGGGGCGCACGAGTGTAGTTCGGACACACGGGCGCCGAGAACGTCTAGCATCTACGGAGCTAATCAGTCTGAAACTACATAAACAGCGTGTTGTAACGTTGCAATTTTGGCTGTTTTCACAAATTGATATTTCTTCTCGATATTCAGATTTTGGATACCACTAACGACATCTATTGGCGTGATTTAAAATTAATTTGCAATAGATGGCGCTTTTTGCTCAGTAAATTCAAATATATTTTATTGAAACATTTCCTAGTGTTTTATTTTGATTATTCTATTTTTCAAATAGAATATTTTCAGTGTTCTGGAAATTGTTTTTCATCTTGGTTTTATTAGTACAGTATTTACTTTTTCAAACGGCGAAACGAAACGTATCGCGATGTCTATGACAGAGCGGCTGTCAGTGGAGCTGTCAAATGACTTAGGAATTTGTCGATCGTGCGCAACCGCAATTTGATTATTTTCGGAAATGTAATTCCTTTTATTTCAAATCGGGTGGTGCAAAATGCATCCACGATAATTTCTTGATGAATAAATAAAAATAACACACATGAGGTAAGTTCCCGTCGGAGAATTTATTTATTTTTCGTGATTGATATTTTTCGTATTCCAGTACGTGGTTATTTCATGTGATCGTTTCTTTCAGAGATTCCCTAAATCGTATTCGGATGAGGGTATTGGGATGCTGAAAACTGCGAGTAAAGTTCAAATTAGCGAGCAGTTTTCGTGAGTATTTCTTTCCCATTGCGGTTTTTTTCATAACCTAATGCCACGTTCCACATGTGATGCTGACACTGGTATTTTTCGTTTCAGATGCGGGATTTCATATTTTACATTTTGATATTTCATATTTTACGATTTTACATTTCATATTTTAGATATTTCAATATTTCATATTGATTTCTATAATTATTACTCCTTTCTGAACTGCTGATCTCTTCGCATTTCCTCCTTGTCATCAAACCTCTGTCTCTGCAAGAGTGTACAGTATTTACTTTTTCAAACGGCGAAACGAAACGTATCGCGATGTCTATGACAGAGCGGCTGTCAGTGGAGCTGTCAAATGACTTAGGAATTTGTCGATCGTGCGCAACCGCAATTTGATTATTTTCGGGAATGTAATTCCTTTTATTTCAAATCGGGTGGTGCAAAATGCATCCACGATAATTTCTTGATGAATAAATAAAAATAACACACATGAGGTAAGTTCCCGTCGGAGAATTTATTTATTTTTCGTGATTGATATTTTTCGTATTCCAGTACGTGGTTATTTCATGTGATCGTTTCTTTCAGAGATTCCCTAAATCGTATTCGGATGAGGGTATTGGGATGCTGAAAACTGCGAGTAAAGTTCAAATTAGCGAGCAGTTTTCGTGAGTATTTCTTTCCCATTGCGGTTTTTTTCATAACCTAATGCCACGTTCCACATGTGATGCTGACACTGGTATTTTTCGTTTCAGATGCGGGATTTCATATTTTACATTTTGATATTTCATATTTTACGATTTTACATTTCATATTTTAGATATTTCAATATTTCATATTGATTTCTGTAATTATTACTCCTTTCTGAACTGCTGATCTCTTCGCATTTCCTCCTTGTCATCAAACCTCTGTCTCTGCAAGAGTTTGAGCGCTTACCTGTCAAAGAGATGCAAGAGCTTCATCTGGCACTGCGCGCTTGAGGCCGTGGAGGACGCTGCTTGTAGCCTGAAGGTGTGCGGGACCCGTTGGACCCCGGAAGAAGAGAGGAACGTTCAGGGTAACGGCTTATAACCGCATGGCTTCCAAGGTACCCACTTTTCCATCCTTCAAGTAGGAGTCTTTCCGACCTGACATCGCGCAGTTATCTTAACTATTAGAGTCTTTAAATATTTAGGCTGAGTTTTAAGAAATTTGTAGTGGCAATAATATTCACCAAACCGAACCTAATTAACGACCCTGAATCCCTTGAGATTGGCACTATCTATTACAGTAGTTATAATATCGTAATAATTGTCAACTGTATTCAAGCTTACAAGACAAAAATAAATTGTGTCAATTGAGAGGGAGCTGTTTTATTTACATTTTCTAATTTCACACAAGGAACGGTAACTTATATAAATTTCTGCAAGCCGGACAACCTCTTTTCCACGTGCAGACAATTCACCATCCTCTCCGTCTGCACTGGTGGCGGTTCAATCCCAGTCACCAAGCCGCCAGGAAAAAATCCTTTCTTGCAGTGTCAGAGTAACTCTTCTGATGCGAAACGAGAGCAACTAAACCAATCAGTATTTTAAGAACCGAGGCTTATGTGCAAAACTGAATCAGTCTTGAATGCTATCTTGTCTCTTAATATAGACTCTCTCGAACAAATTGTGAAATAAAATGAAATGTCGAAATCCATTTTTTTCAAATTTTTCAAAATATTTCAAAAATCGTTTGCTTAGAGTTAAAACTGATTCCATGACCGTTACAGGGCGATTGCTCTGATCTTTTTAAGAAATTTTTCAAATTTTCAATTAATAAAAAATGCAACTCATAAGCTCGTAAATCGACCAGGAAAAATCACATTATTTATGTGACAATTCATTTGAGCAAGGAAAGATTATCTACAGTTTCTTGTGATATCTGTTGGCCATCCTCTGAGTCCGTATGTCCCCGTTGTAGCTCAGAAACTCGCTGACGGGCTACATGCCCCTTTTGTGCGCCGACATAGCAAGTATGTATAACACGTTCTATTAAACTTAAACGGGAGCCAAAAACTCTTTGTTCGCTTGCATATTACTGTTGGTTCGCCCTAAAAACCTTGAGAGGGACCGATTGAGGCCAACAAAAAGTCCTTTGTTGGTTGCTGGCCTCTTTGGGTTGTCGAGTAATACATAATTATGCTGTGAGATAACGAGTGCCAGTTTTACTGAGCTATTTTAAATGTATTTAAATGTGTGTGACACGTCATTGCCCGTAGTTGTTTGTTCTGAATTCTGATATTATTAAGATGGCGCTCCTCTGGGTATCCAATCCATTCCATTAGTACTCATAATCAAATCATCATTATCATTTCAGCCACAGGACATCCACTGCTGAACATAAGCATCCCTCAATGATTTGATCGGTACATACTCATAATGTTTTTCTCAAAAAATATCTTGAGTGCAAATAAAAAAAACAACAGATATTTAAAAAAAAAGCCTATGAAAACATTACCTATGCATAATAAAACTCTGTTAAAACATGAAATACTATTTTGCTTTTGAGATATAAACCTCGAATTAAATAAAGAGAGCTCCATTTATTTGGACGAAATCATACTTTCATTTAACTGTCTACAATAAATAAACCAAAAAACAAAAAGTTCCGAAGTATTGGCAATTTGAAGTCACAATACTGCCAATAGTGTTTCAAAAATGCCTCCACAAAGTGAATAATCGAAAAAATCCTGTTACAAAATGCCCTACAGCCTCCAACGGAGCGTCAAATCGTTATATTTCGTAAAAACTGTGTTAAACTCGCAAAACATTTCAAAGCAAAATAGAAGCAGGATGGTATAAATAAAAAGAAATACAGAAACGCCTACATTAAGATGATTAAAGAAGCCGTAAGTCCTCATTTTTTTACGTCGCAAACAATAAACAAAATCTACTTCGCGTCCAATCTGTCGCATTTTCTTTGTCCACTCTGTGTGGCCAGGAAACCAGCTGGACCACCAGTAAGGTAAGAAAAGTCTTTTAAGATTTTATAATGCCCATTTACATCTTTCGGTTGCACCCGCACGGACAAGACAGAAGTGGAAGAAGTCTATATTCTGAGCAGTTTAACATTAAAGTTATTTCTCAGTTAAAAATGTCACCACTTAGGCTGAGTTGCACCACCTAACTTTCACCGTAACTATAACGATAACCGGTGTTTATTGTAGGGAGACAGATTTTTAACGTTTGTAAAAATTTAACTAAGATGGCGCAACCCAGACTTAACAGCATCTTTCAATATTTCTTTCGTTCGTTTCAGCGAAATGACGACGTCCACTGCTAGACAAAGGCCACCCCCAAGGATTTACTTTACACTATTTTAAAATAGTTTCCAAATCGCTCATCTTATGGCTCCACCTCCGATACTTTCTCAGATGCCACTCACTATCTCCGCTTTGTGAGCCCCTTTCAGAGTCGCCTGGAGGAGAGAATTGCTGGAACCCAATTACTACAGCCGCCCCGAGTTTTTATTTATTCAACGCACAGCCAGAACTCTGTCATAGTCGGGACCGGTTTGTAAGTCGCTGAATAGTGAATCTATTAAAAAGATTAGGGTTAAGCTTCGGCCGCGGCCGGTTCAATCCTTTCGGCCTTTGGATTGGAATGGGATTGGTCATTGAATAGAGCGGTTGAGGTGGACGTTAGGATCTTAAGTTATTGGAAGTTAATCAATATGATTGAGTTATCGAGGCAGAAAGCTTTGAACTTGACCGCCAACATGAAGGGCAGGTTTATTTACTAGTGAACGCCAGCAACATCTTAGGCTTACCTATTTGTAATTAATTTTGAATTTCTCTGATGAATACTGAATATTTTTAGTCATAAAATATTTAGACTAAAATACGCTTCAATTATACTTTGTAGACGAGATTACCAATTTGAAGTTATTTACATTAAAATCAATTATTTGATAATGCCGATTTACAATAAAAAAATGATTCTATGCCTCAGAAGATACATTAAAACCAAACCAAGTCATCGGTCAATCGAGTGAAATAAAAAATTCCCACCACTAACGATCAGTGTGCTTGTCACGAGTTTACATCAGCTGTGCTCGCTAGCGACTGCGTAAAAAAATTACATAAAATGTATTACAGATTATACATACAGCGCCCCCTACCCTAGCAGTTACATTCAAGAACTAAGAGTAGGCGCACACCGTTGATTTTTCGTCGGCCGATATTTTAGTCGGGCTGTTGATCAGTATGGGCTTGTATGGGAGTGCGCACACTACGCCGATTCGATTTGGCCGATTCTTCATACAATTTGAAATCGGGCACAACTATCGGCCAACTAAAAATCAACGGTGTGCGCCTACTCTAAATTGTATGAAGAATCGGCCAAATCGAATCGGTGTAGTGTGCGCAGTCCCATACATGCCCATACTGATCAACTGCCCGACTAAACTATCGGCCGACGAAAAATCAAAGATGTGCGCCTACTCTAAACTCGCCATAGATTTTTTGACACGTTAATGTAAACAGAGCAAGACACAATAGCAATGCTTGTGCGAATCGCACTAACTTAGGCGATAAACAGAATCCTCGCTAAGACGTGTGCACACGTGCTGAGCGGTCTGCAAACAGGCCTGGAGCGTAAACGGTTTGCCCATGTTAATGCTGTTCTATTGCAGACGGTAGGACTAGGAGTTCTAAAGCGATGATAATTGATTCTACCTGTAAAGCTTACAAAGAGAAGTTGAAGTTATCTGTGTTCAATGAATGTCAAAAATCTAAAAAAATAAAACTATAAGGCTGAGTTGCACCACCTAACTTTGACCGTAACTATAACGATAATCGGTATTTTTTGCATGGAGTTTGACAGATTTTTGACATTTGACAAAGTTAAAGTGCAACCCAGCCTTAGACAGAGTTCTGCGAGCTTTGATTGTTTTTGTGATTACTTGCACTTTTGTTTTCAAGTAACAGAAACGCTAGGCTTGTATTATGAACCATTTCATAATTACTATAATGTGTAGAGTAGCCATATTTGCCTGTCAGATAAATAACAACACCCGCCTCCCATTATCATAAAGGTGAATAAAGACTAGAGCATTTACTTGTAACAGAACAACGAGCCGCTTTATGAATTTCTAATGTCTCACGAACTAAACGTCGCTTCGTACATTTTACCTGTAATGAACCATCCCATAGTAGGCCAGTAGAATTAAACACAAAAATGAATTAATCTAGGAGAACTAATAACCTAGGAGAGTCTTAATGGGCAACCAATGAACCCATTAAAGCAATAAAATCTTTTTTAGGAATTATTTCCGATTTAAAATCTAATTCTACTGGCCTATAGAGTGGAGGCCGCGTAAAGGAAAACGCAGCGTGGGACGTTCACCTACAAGGTGGACCGACGACATCATAAAGGTAGCAGGAAGGTGCTGGACGCAGGCCGCTACCGACCGGGCAACATGGAAAGCATTGGGGGAGGCCTATGTTCAGCAGTGGACGTCCTATGGCTGAAATGATGATGATGATGATGAACCATTCGTAAGAGCGTTACGGTACATAGTCAGTTGCTCCATCATATATCTTTTATAATGCGAACAGCTAGGGACTGGAATTCGTTGCCTGCTGCTGTCTTTCCCGAAAACTATAATCCGGGCCTCTTCAAGGCGAGAGTGAATAAGCACTTACAGGACAGATATGTACCATCCTAGACTGCATCCCACTTAACATCAGGTGCGATTGTGGTCAAATACCTGCCTTGTTATGCATAAAAAAAATGCAGCAATTAAAACTCGATCTTACCCAATTACTCGAGAACTTAAATCGCAAGTTCACTATATTAGTTCCTCGTAAGTTCCGTACAGGCCTGAGAAATCCGTTTAAAGCCACACTGATGAATACGGGGAATGGAGCCCACTTGAATGTTACCGAAAGAAACGTACGAGAGGAACTTTGATCGTCTATGGGACACATGGTAGTGGGGACTGCTGAGCATTAGGAAATAAATTTATAGTAAAAAAA